TGAGACTGAGGAGAGAGGGACGGGTCCGAGCCCGAGAGCCGGGAATCCCAGAGGACTGAGACTGAGGAGAGAGGGACGGGTCCGAGCCGTGTCCGGCGGTGCAGACAGGACTCGTGCGGCACAGGGCGCTCATCTCTCCCTGGTCTGTCCGTCCTGGCCTGTCCCGGGTCAGGCCGATCGCGGCTCTGAGCAGGTCATCACCGGTGGAGACTCACTGTCCCCTCCGAACGACCGGACGTGTCAGAACCGGGGGTCCAATGAGCTGCGGCCAGAACCCAGCCGGCGAGCCCAAACTGGAGGCGGTTATACAGGTCCGTGTTCCGTCCGTCTGCGAGTCTCCTTGTTGTTTATGCTGCAGCCAGTTAGTGTCTGAGATTCTCTGGAACAGGTGGAAGTACAGGAAAGGTCCGCTCTGCAGTCATCGGGCTCGTTCACGGCTCTAACACACGAGCGAACCGGCCGGGTGCCGGACCGTGCCGAACTGTGGCGGTTCCGTCGTGCGTGTCCGCTGCTGTTTCTGATCCGCGTGCGGGTTAGGAGGTTACAGAGCCCGAGGCGAGAGGCTGCCCCGGTTCCGCTCGGATGGGTCGGGTCTCTGGCGGTGCCAGTGCAGGTGGCCTGAGCATAATAGACACAGCCTGAGTGGGTTAGTGCGTTCGTATGGGTTAGTGTGTCAGTCTGTCAGTGTGGGTTGTTTTGTGTGTCAGCGTGTGGGTTACTGTTCTGTGTGTGTGGGTCAGTGTACTGTATGGGTCAGTGTGGGTTGGTGTGCGTCTGTGTGTGTGTAGGTGTGGCTTAGTGTTAGTGTGGGTTACTGTATGTGTGGATCAGTGTGCCCAGGTGAACTGTGGGGCCTGGCAGCACTCAGAGGTGGCAGCTGGTGTCTCTATGTGCCCATCTGGCAGCAGGGAGCTGGCCTGTGTGTCACTTATGCCAGAGAGTCGGTGAGAAGCTACAGCAGCAGGAGTGCTGGGAGTCTGTCTGTTCTCTGTTTACTTTTGTTGTGTTAAAAAGCAATTTATTAACCCTCCTGTTTCTAGCAGTTTCTCTCACTGCAG